CACATGTCACTTTGAAATGAAGCCTTCTCTGGTTCACCTAGATGGAAATGATTTTCTTTATCTCAGTTTCAGAGCAAATAAACACAGTAGAAAGCAATGAGTAACCACAGTTCTACCACTCTAGTATAAACCTGAACAAATCACTTGAGTTTTTAAAGCATGTAAAATGAGTAAAGGTCAAAACAACACAATTGATTTCCTGGAAAACTATCCTGACTCAGAAAATTTTGAAACACATTCTTTTGAAAGCAATGTTCTTAGGGAAAGTAAGGGGAATTGTCAGTAGTCATAAGTGAAAAGGTAGCAAAAACTAGAGCGCTAAGCTAGTACCATGGGCCAAGACTACTCCAAGGAACCAGAAACTCAGTCTGGTGGAAAACAAGAGATAAGACATATGGCCCATGCAAGAGAAGACATGGATCTGATGCTTCCGCGTAAAGCCAGGAATTTTGCGAAAAGCTGAACTAGGAAAAACAAACAAAAACTGTCAGTATAAAAAAATGACAGGGGGCCTTCCCGGTGGCGCAGCGGGTTGAGCACAGCGCTGTGAAGCTGTCCATGGCCTCTGCAGTGCCGGTTCGATTCCCAGCCAGCCAGGGAGATTCTCAAATGGCGTGGCAGACCTCTCCTGTCGCACCTGCTGCTCCCCTCAGCAGTGCTTTCGGTCTGTCTGCCTGTCCTGCTCCCCGCTCTGTGTCTGGTGAATCCTCTCACCTTCCTGTGCCTCTACCTTGTACCCTAGCTATTGTATAAATAAATATTAAAAAAAAAAAAAAAAAAAAAGGGAAACTTCTCTGCCTTGTTCTGGGCCCTTGAGGTGAGAAGATACAGTTTCCTTTCAGAATTCACAAGCACTCCCATTTGAAGTTCTAAATACAAGCTCACAACACCAAAGCACAAATTATATGAGGGAATAAGCTACCAGGAGCAACAGTCAGTGAGAACAACAGCTGTATTAAAGACCCCAGACTATCTTTCTAATGCCGGGTTTCAACTAAAATGTCAATTACTTTAATGTTGTTTTGCTTTTTTGCTATACATGGAAGCCCTGATATCTTTCACAATAACAATCAATAATGTACCACATTAGAAAACATGGAATAGAAAATTATTTTTATGTAGAAGAAAGCATCTGCTAAGAAAATCACAGGCATTTCTTCAAGCTTGGTCCAATGATACCAAAGACAAGACTGACTAAAATAGTTTATGGTTAAATATTTAAGTAGAATAACAATGAGTACTATTTAAAATATCTAGATTAAAAATCCTTTATTATTACAATCTTATCTGAGATGTAACCTTTGAACTACATATACAAAGGATAAAAACATGTGGTATAACAGCTGAAATAAGCACAAAAGGTTTTTCTTCTTAATTCTCCTTAAGCAGTGCCAATGAAGGATACTAATAATAGAATAAAATTTCAGAGCAGAACAATGAAAACCATAATTAGAAGTCAATGCAGCATACACTCCTGGGAAAGGATTATAATTAAGAATTCTCAAAGAAGAGTGTGGATGTATATGTGTGTGCAGATATATAAATACACAGATCCACCCCCCATATAACTGTAATAAAATATTTGTAATAAAATATTTCTTATCAATCTAACATGGGGATTATTTGGATAAAATAAGTAAAAGATAAAAATTCTACCCAAAATATAACATTTTGTTAAATATTTTAAAGGCTTTATCCAAATCTAATTGATTTTTAAAAGATATCTCTATAAAACTAAAACCCTAATAACCTTGATAGAACCACTCATAGGTAAATGGAGATAACAATATAGCATCATATTATCACTATCCTACTTATTTCAGTCATTCAATATCTACTTTAATTAACTTTTACCTTTGCTTCTAGAAAGAAGGAATCTCTAAACGAAAGTGAAAGAGGAATCATTTGTGTCCTTCTTGGGTTTAAAGACATTAATTATAATTTCAATATATGAACAAAGACTACATAACACAAAATATAAAGATTACCACAGAAACATGTACTTTTTCAGCATGATTTATAAGTTACATGGTCAGAGTTTGTTTTTATTTTAATACAAATCATTTCTTAATTGAGATAATATTGGCTTACAATATTGTTGGGACTATAAAGCAACAGCAATGATGGATCAACAGGCCAATGGAACAGACACCAGAAAACATTCACACATGTATGGAAACCTGAATGATAACACAGACAATAATGCAGAACAATGAGAAACACCCAGTTTTTCTAATGAATGGGTAGGGTCAATGGATGGCCATATAAAAAGAAAAACTTGACTTCTGCTCTATTTAATATACTCTACACCTAAATTATTTTCAGACAGATTAAAACTTAAGGTGAAACACAAAAGCTTTTAGAAGATAACAAAGAAGAAATAGACATCTTAAATAAGAAGGAAATAACAGTTATAGTTTGAAAAATCTGAATTACATTGAGCATAATAAGAACTTTTATTTCTCCAAAGATAAAAGAATGAAAAAACAAGTCACAAAACAGGAAAATATCAGCAACACATAAAACCAACAAAGGACTTGTATTCAGAATATATATTTTTTAATTCTACAAATTAATTTTTAAAACCCAACAACTGAGTAGGAAAATATGCAAGAATCTTAACACATCTGACAATAATGGACAATAGCCATATGAAATGGTGCTTCGCATCATTAGTAATCCAAGAAATGCAAGCTAAAGTCACAAGGAGGGGCCTCCCTTGTGGCGCAAAGGGTTAAGACACAACCTATGAAGCTGTCCACAGCTACTGTAGCACAAGTTCGATCCCCAGCCGGCCAGGGAGCAACCCACATAGCACAGCACACCTCTCCTGACTTGCCTGCTGCTCCCCTCAGCAGTGTATTTCAGTCAATCTGCCTGTTCTGTTCCCCACTCTGTCTCTGGTGAATCCTCTCACTACCCGCCCATACCTCTGGCCTGTACCCCAGCTCTTGTATGCATAAATAAATCTTTAAAAAAAAATAAAATCACCAGGAGTGATGTTACAGTAATAGTATCAATGGCTCTTACATATAATGCTGGAAAAAAAAAAAAAAAAAAAGCAAGACACGGTGTATTCTGCATATTTCTATTTGTAAAAAAGGTCAAAACCAGACAAACCTACAATGTTAGGAATCAGTTTAGTGGTTACCTTTGGGTGATTGAAAGCAAAAGATTGGAGGTATCTCATGCCCAGACTTCAAACTATACTGTAAGGCTATAGTGATAAAACAGTATGATATTGAAATAAAAATACACACACAGAAAAGTGGAATAGAATTGAGAGCACAGAAATAAACCCACAATTTATATGAGTAGTTAATTTATAAAAAAAAGGAGCCAAGAAAATACAATGGAGAAAGGAAAAGTCTCTTCAACTGGACAGCCACATTCAATAAAATGAAACAAGATCAATAGCTCACACCATACACAAAAATTAACTCAAAATGTATTAAAGAAGTCTGAAAACACAAAATACAAAGAAAACCTAGCAAAGCACTTCAAGACACTGGTTTCATTGATTTGAGGATTCAATTCCAATGACAAGGAAAACAAAAGCAAAAATAAATGACTGGGAATATGCTAAATTAAAAAGCTTCTGTACAGTGAAGGAAACTATCATTAAAACAAAAAGACACTCCATTGAATGGGAGAAAATATATGTGTCTCATCCATCTGACCAGGGGCTAATATCCAAGCTTTACTAAGAGCTCCTACAACTTAACAAAAAGCAAGCAAGGAACCCAATCAATAAAACCATAATGAGATCCCACCTCACTACAACAGAATGGCCCATAATCATAAAAACCAAAAACAACAAATGTTGGTTCACTGTGGGAAAATAGACTGGTCCAATCCCTATGGGAAACAATTAAAGGTTCCTCAAAATATCAAAAATAGATCTACCACATGATGCAGTTATTCCACTCTTAGGTATCTACCTAAAGAATACAAAATCACTAATTTGAAGGATATATGCATTCTTATTTCATTGCAGCACTATTTATAATAGACAAGTTGTAAAAACAACTTAAATGCCCATCAACAGAGCAGCGGATTAATAAGATGTGGTATACAGAAACAATGGAATACTTCTCAACATTAAGAAAAGATGAATATTTGTCACTTGCAACAGACTATACAGAACTTGAGGGGATCATGTTAAGTGAAATGTATCAGAAGGTGAAAGACAATACCAGATGATTTCACTCATATGTATAATATAGAGAAACAAAACAAAGGAACTGAAAAACTCAAACTAAAACAAACCCTAGAAATATGACTGCAGAGTTGAGGCTACTAGAGGTAGAGAGAGGGCAGGGATGTGCACAAAAGGCATTGGGGCCCAGTAGTAAAGGTTAAAGGACTGTGGGTTATTTGATGGTGGGGATGGTGTGGTAACATACATCAGAGGAGGTATGAATCTGATATCCCCCTAAATCATATACAGTGTTGTAAAACCAATGTCACCACAATAAAGATTATAAAAACAGAGTAAAACATTGGCTTCCACAAATAAATAAATAAATAATAAAACCATACTGAGATACCACCTCATACCCATAAGAATGGCACATACCAAAAAGATTGCCAATAATAAGTGCTGGAGAGGATAAGGAGAAAAAGGAACCATATTACACTGCTGGTGGGACTGTGGATTGGAAAAAATGATTATGAAACCATTATGGAAAGCTATCTGGATTTACCTTAAAAAATTAAAAACAGAAATACCGTGTGACCCAGTCATCCCATGCTTGGGCATATATCCATAGAATATGAAACCATCATATTAGAATCTACAAAATTCAGAGCACTGCATACAGTGATCAAAACACTATAATCAAATAAAACAATTTTTTAAGTTTTCAAATGTTCATTTCAGAGTCACAAGTGGAAAAGGAAAGAATGAAATATATTTCTTCAATAATATTTATTTTAACTACCAAAGACAGAGTGATAGGAACAAACGATTATGTACTTCAAAAGGACTGGATTCTCACCTGTTCAATCTCTTTGGTTTTTGATGCTATTGCTTTAGAACGAGTGGTTAGCTGACTGTCTTCAAATAATTCTATGCCATCTGTTGCATTGGACTCAGGTTCTTCTGGTTGGTCAATGAACAATGGTGCCGTGGAGCCTGCCTTTAAAAAGAAATAGAAATCTTTAGTTGCTTTCTTACAAGAACATAATGCAGTTCAGATGACTTCATAAGCAGTAACTGGAAATTTTATAAAGAAAAGGTGCTAAGCTTAACCCATTTTAAGAAAGCACTGTTAATTTCACCACACAGAATGAGCATATGTGAAGATTAAAGAGAAAGTGGTTGCTATTTTTTAAATTTTAGGTAAGATAAATCTCTAGACTTTTTTCATTCCAAAATTACATTTCACACTATATCAAGACAGAACTTGATGATTATGTCCTTCAACAATCTATTTAAGAAACACTGAGGGGAAAGGTATGTACAATATAAACAAGTACATTATACAGGAATGGCAAAAGGACTCCATACTTTCAAATTTTTTTCAAAATCTTGTTCCTATAGTCTAAGACTAAAATCACTGAAAGAAAACAATTCCTGAAAGTAATCACAATCGTGTCTATTTTAGAGCAACAATTCATTAAAACAATAATCTCACAAAATCCCATATCTGGTAACTGACCTTTAAAAAAACACTTTGTTGAAAAGAGAAAAGCTAAAGAAGGGGAAACTTTTATTTAACTACCCTTATTTGATTATTCAAATATTTACTGAACAACACATGCCAAGCACTGCTCATGGAGCACAAGACAGATGAATGAACAGAACAGACAAAACTTCTTGCCTTCACACACCTTGCAGCACGCAATGACTTAGAAAGAGGAAACTGTGAAGTTTAGACTCATGCATTTTATACTGTTGCATTTTTAGGGGTAGTAATAGATATGAGAGAAGATAAGAAACTCATTTATTACCAGGTTATCAAAAATTTATGAGTTTTGTGATTGAAGAAGTAGCAAACAGCAGTAGGTTTGGAGAAGTCACAAAACATATACTAATCTGAGGGACTTCGCACAGTGAAAGCAGTGGCACTGCAACGCCTAGTGTGCTGGGGTGGATACAGTCACAACTTCTTAAGAGAGTAATTTGGAGGCATTTATCAAAATTTAACACGTCTCTTTCACTCAGCTACTTCACCTATAGAAACTTAATCTCACATTAGCAACACAGGCTGAGACATGGCTGTGATTAATAGCAAATGATTGAAAACTGTCAATTTCATCATTCGGGGATTGCACAAATAAATTATGCAGTGTCAAGGACCAATGCACACTAAGAAATCATTTAAATGAATATGGACTGTGTGAGCATGCATGCACGTGTCCACGAGAGGGGGACAGGGGGGAGAGAGAATGTACTCTAATTTTTCTTCTGGCATATCCTGGAGGTCAAAAAAGAGACACATTTAAGCGCATATGCCTAGACTATCTCTAAAAGGATACTATCTTGGGGGTAAATGGTAGTAGAGGTTGCCTCAATAGGATAACTTCGAAGAAATAGAATGGGAAACAGTACACATACTTTGGTGCCATTTGAACTTCTGCCATGTATATGTATAATTTTAAAATCTTACTTTTTATAAGCCTAAGATATATTGTAAGAGAATTAAATTGCAAGCATGAGAGACATTTAAGGGGGTAGAATTCCAGGAAGATAGCAGAATAGGAAGACCCAGAAATTTGTCTCCCAACCTAGATAAACAATTATTACTAACAAACTTTGTTTCATGTAACTATACTGGAACTCTGGACTCCACTGAAAGCTTACAACACCAAGAGGAAGATGGGGAAGATAAAGGTAGGGGTGAATTTCAGGCCTTAGCACAACAGCAGCTCCTACTCCCACCCCTAGCCACTTAGAAAGCTGCAGCAAGTGGGCCTGTACACAGCCGGGTGAGCCAGGCTGGGCAAAAAGGACTCCATCCACCAAATATCAGAGGTCTGTGCTCTGATTGCTGCTGTTCCTATCACTGGGGTGCAAAGAGGCAGCAGCCCCTGGTGCTGTACCTCCCACCACTACCACCCCCCTAATCTGGTAACAGTGACTCCAGGGACCTAAAGGGCCAGAGTCTATTCTCCCACCACCACTCACCCTCTCTCACCTTCATTTTTCATGTTATTCCCTTTCAAGAGGCAGACATTTAAGATTCTTGCATTAAAAAATAACTGCACACACAACACTAATGATAAAGGACTGATCACAAAAATCTGCAAAGAACTGATGAGACTCAACAACAACAAAGAAAATAATCCAGTCAAAAAATGGGCAGAAGAGCTAAAAAGAAACTTCTCTGAAGAGGAAATGCAAATGGCCAACAGGCATATGAAAAAATGTTCAACATCACTTATAATCAGGGAAATACAAATCAAAACTACCATGAGATACCATCTTACACCAGTGACAATGGCACATATTAAAAAAACTAGCAACAACAAATGTTGGCGAGGGTGTGGAGAAAAAGGAACTCTTCTGCACTGTTGGTGGGAGTGCAAACTGGTCCAACCACTATGGAGAGCTGTGTGGAGATTTCTGGACCTACTAAACATAGAGCTTCCATATGATCCAGCAATTCCACTCCTAGGTATTTACCCAAAGGACACAAAAACATCAATTCCAAAGAACACCTGCACCCCTATGTTTATAGCAGCTCTATTTACAATAGCTAAGCTTTGGAAACAGCCCAAATGCCCAAAAATAGATGACTGGATCAAGAAGATGTGGTACATATATACCATGGAATATTACTCAGCATTCTAAAAAAATAAACACATGCAATTTGCAGCAACATGGATGGTGCTGGAAGGGATCATGCTCAGCGAAATAAGCCAGAAAGAAAAAGAAAATACTGGATGGTCTCACTCATAGCAGGAATCTAGAAAACTTAAATAAGGGACCAGGAAAATGAATAACTATAAGAAAGTGAAAATCAAAATCAACAAAAAACTATGAACCAGAGACACTTTTTGGGGGTGGGGGGCGGGAGGGGAGGGATTGGGGTCAGAATGGGGGGGTTGCAATTGTATGGGGAATATAAAAATAAAATTTATTATTTAAAAAAAAAAAATAACTGCACATATGGGGAAATGTAGAAAGTGACTGAGTATGCCATGGGAAAGGGTCAGAAAAGACCTAAGAGATCTTAAGTTTATACCATGGGCGGCCGGTCCTCAACACAGCAGCAGCATATAACAATCAAAAAGAGCAAAAATAATAAAAAGAAGAAAATCCTGGAAAGAGGGGAGAAGCAAATTTCTGAAGTTAACACGTTATTAGATTCAAACACCCAGTATTCAACAAAAAAATTAGAAGGCAAACAAACAAGAAAGTACGGCCCATTCAAAAGAATGATTCAATAGAAACTGCCCCCCCCCAAAAAAAAGACTTAGTGGCAGCTTTATTAGACAAAATTGTTTAAAATAATTGCTTCAAAGATGCTGAGACTGCTAACAGGAAGATATGGAGGAAACCATTAAAATGCTGCCTAAACAAAATGGAAATATCAATGAGAGATGAAACCTAAAGGAAACAAAAATGAAATTCTAAAGCTAAAAAAGTAACTGAAATTTAAAAATTCACTAGAAGAATTCAAAGGCAAGTTTGAATTAGTGAACTTGAAGATTAGACAGTAAAAAGTGTCAAGGCTGAGGAACAGAAAGAAAAATACTGAAGAAAGCATAAAAGATATATGGGCATCCCAAAAAGGAGAAGAGAGAGTTAAGAGCAGAGAGATTATCTGAAGGAATGATGTCTTAAAACTTGGATATCAACATCCAAGAAGCTCAACGAACTCCAAGTAAGATGAGTTCAAGAGCCCCATACTGAGTGAGATGTACTATAATCGCACTTTCAAAGGACAAAGACAAAGAGTTAACCTTGACAGCAGCAAGAGAGAAACTGGCTAGAAATGCTCAAGGAGGCCTGAAAGGTAAATTGAAGATATACAAGTCAGTTACTCTTAACTCAGGAGTTAAGAGTAGTTAGCATGGGCAATTATAAAAGCTAGTATCATTTTAATGATGGTTTGTAACATTATTTTTGTTTTCTCCATGATTCCAGAGACTGATACATTACCAAAAAAAAATTAGTGTAAAAGCTAGCTTGTGATTGCGCATCTTTTCTACATAATTCAGAAGACTACTGCATTCAAAGGGACCATTAGTTATATTGTGGGACACATGATGCAGAAAGAATTTAAACATTTCACTACAAAAAAAAAGCCAACTAAACACACAAGAAGACAAGAATGTAGGAAATGAGAGAGAAAATAAATTATAGGGCATAGAGAAAACAAATACCATAATGATAGAAGTAAATCCCCCTTAATCAGTAAATTTTATGTGACTGGATTAAAGTCTGAACTCAAAACACAGAGACTGACAGAAGAGTAAAATGACAAGACCTAGAGAAAGGCCCAGAGAGATGATTCTGGAAGTAATATATCACAACGGCTGCTGAAGAACTCCAAGTTCAGTTCAAACTTGTGTTAGCTCATACTAGTGGTAACTGGGAAGCCACATTTATAAAACATTTGACCAGGGATTTTGAGATGTAGCTACTTGCTAAGCTCCATCCCCTAATGTTCCACACCAACAGAGGACTTGTTAAGTTCACTGTGGACACAGGAAAAATTGAGTGGACTGAAGAGATGGTCATTATGTGTAGGCCACATTACATTGGATGTCTAAGACTGAGAGTTACTTACAAAAACATGCTTAACAGCACAGAACTCTGGTACAAGTGTGGGATAACATCCTTATAGTGTGTTATGGCAACAAAATATACAAATGAAGCTGGAGCCCAGTAATCAGAAATCTAGTTTTAAAAGCAACTGGATTCCACAAAAATAACTGTGTGAATGAATACATGAATTCAGCAAAGCAGCAAGGTACAAAGTCTACACATGAAAATCGACTGTATTTTTATACAAGAATGATGAAAAATGTGAAAGGGAATTACAAAACAATCTCATTTATAAAAGCATCAAGAAGAATTAAAAACAGGAAAATTAACCTAACCAAGGATATGAAAAGACTTGTACAATGAAAATTTCAAAACATTGAGGTAATTAAAGATGATGTTAATGGGAATATATCTCAACATGTTTTGAAGACAATACTATTAAAATGTCAATACTACTTATCAGTTTAATATCTGATACATCCTCTTCGAGGACAATATATTAAGTGGATTTTAGAGCAGAGAGAAGGAGTAGGAGCTTGCTCCATCCTCTGGTCTGCAGTACACCCCAAGAATGGCAAAACCCTGCCCCTAGGGGATAAAAAAAAAGAGAGAAAAATGTTCGATCTTCCTCCTATAGCAAGAAGCAACCTGTTCTACCCAGACATTCTAATAGCCTTCAAATAATTTGCCTTCATTCTGATAGTCAAAGCAAAACTCTCATTACCATGTCTAATGACAGTAAATTTTATCTACAAAACCTTGACTGTAAGCTCTTTGACATCCAGGCTGTCTAATGCCATGTCTGACATAAGTAAACACAGAATGAATTTTAGTAAATTTAAATAGACTATGAAAAAGCCATTAAAGTATTATTTTTTGAAAATATATGCCTTAAAAAACTAATCCTAAAATATGCACTGCAGAAAAAAATTTCATAGTCAAAATTTTATAAATTGTGCAAACTAATATTAGAGTCCAAAAGGTAAAAATAATAAATTGCATGGAGGAATGAACTACAACATAGCTCTAGGCAGAGCAGACCCCATCTGTCTCCCCACTGTTCCCCTTAGCAATGTATGTCAATACATCTACCTTTTCTGTTCTCTACTCTTCACCCCCACTTCTCTGGCCTATAACCAGGTTCTTTCCAGCTTAAAAAAAAATGTCCTAGCAAATCACTGAATTTATGTTCAACTTCACGTGTCTTTTTATAAACGGTATGATCCTCCAACTAAATAGTTTAAAACATTATTGATGGAAGCAAGAGAAGATAAACTAGAAACTCAAATATTTAATCAAATGTAAACAATGTTTCTAAAGTCCAGGGACCATTACTTATAGCTAATATAAAATACTGCCACAACTAGATTTAAACATTACAGAGTAATATATCAAACTCTTTCCCCGCATTACATTTCTTTCTTCCTTCCAACTTACTTTGTCAAATCAGGTCAATGTCACCTTTCTCAAAGCATGGATCATTGAAATGAGTAACTAACAACTGTCTGGGAGAGCAAATGTTACCATCTGAGCAAAATGATGTAAGATGAGATTCAATTTTCAATTAAAAGTCAAACAGTATCATCAAAATTCCCCGACCATGTTATATCCAGTATGAAGAAGTAGCAATATAAATTGAAATTCAGACAATGGTACAAAACTGATACTACTTCTCAAAGACAAAGACACACAAGTAACCTAGTAACTAACATGCTAAAGAAATCTTATTCTCTGCTCTGACTCAATTTGCCTTTAGTCCAACAAAAGATCATGTCTGAACTATTGCCCGACTTACAAACTTTCAGAGCTGTTTACTTCTCATTAAATCATACTCTAGTAAATTCAGTCATATTTTAGAGAAAAATCGAGGATTAGACAAAAAAAATTATTTCTTGTCCCAATGACATTTTAGAGTTAAGATCCAGTCAAGCAAGAAGAGAACATAAGAATATTTAAAGTCCAGGAAAGATAGTCAGATGTTTTTAATTGAGATATAAAAGGGGGGTAGGGAGGAAAGGATAAACACATGTTAATAAAGCCTTGCTAACTGGAGATAAAGAACTAGGCAAAGAAGTACTGTTTTTAGAGACAGTTAGAGGTACTCTGAGAAAACTTACCAGTTTTGCAAAACAGCAATTATAAAGTAGTATTCTAAAATTATTAAAGAAAATAAGCAAAATGGGCCTCCCCTGGTGGCACAGGTGGTTGAGCGCCATGCTGTGAAGCTGTCTGCAGCCTCTGCAGCACCTGTTTGATCCCGGCTGGGCCGGCAAGGGTCCCACATGGCACGGCAGACCTTTCCGATCTCACCCGCTGCTCCCCTCAGCAATGTATTTCATCAGTCTGCCTGTTCTGTTCCCCACTCTGTCTCTGGTGAAAATCCTCTCACCCTCCCGCGCATCTAGCCTATATCCCAGTTCTTGTATAAAATAAATAAATCTTAAAAGAAAAAAAAAAAAAGAAGCAAAGTGACCCTATTAAATGTACTTAAAAGCTTGTTTTTTAAATAGTGCTAGAAAAGTGCCAGAGGGACAGCTTGATATTTTTCATATGTTTATTCAAGAATGCATATAAAGGGCCTCCCTAGTGGCACAGGCGGTTGAACACCACACTGTGAGGCTGTCACAGCTTCTGCAGCACGGGTTCTATCCCAGCCGGCCAGTGAGAATCCCACATGGTGCAGCAGACCTCTCCTGTCTCGCCCGCTGCTCCCCTCAGCAGTGTATTTCGTCAGTCTGCCTGTTCTGTTCTCTGCTCTGTCTATGGTGAATCCTCTCATCCTCCCACGCATCTGGCCTGTACCCCGATTCTTGTATAAAAATAAATAAATCTTGAAAAAAATGTATATAAATATCTATTATTAGAGCTGCATTAAGAAGGAAAACTTGGGCCTCCCCAGTGGCGCAGTGGTTGAGCGCTGGGCTGCGAAGCTGCCCGCAGCCTCTGCAGCACCGGTTCGATCCCTGGCCACTGGGCGAGGGTCCCAAACGGCGCGCAGACCTCTCCTGCCGCCCGCTGCTCCCCTCAGCAGTGTACTTCGTCGGTCTGCCTGTTCTGTTCCCTGCCCTGGCTCTGGTGAATTCTCTCACCCTCCCGTGCTTCTGACTATACCCAGTGCTTGTATAAATAAATTAAAAAAAAAAAAAAGAAGGAAACCTTGACTAACTTAAGAACAATAGATTTCTAAATGACATCAGCATTTTAAAAAAGCTCTACTGGTTAAGTACTGGTAAGAGTTTATATTGGCTTATCATTTCTGTGGGCAATGTACGATGGATCTTTTCATGATGTATGCTAATGTGTATAGGTACGCAGTTTTTTTTTTTAAAGATTTATTTATGCACACAAGAACTGGGGTACAGGCCAGAGGTGTGGGGGTGAGAGGGTTCACCAGAGACAGAGTGGGGAACAGAACAGGCAGAATGACTGAAATACACTGCATGCTGCAGTGGTTGCAGATAGTTTCATAGGTTGCATCCTAACTCCCTGAGCCACCAGGGAGGCCCGGCACGCAGTTTTAAATGAAATTCCAATGCCTGATCCCTTTTGTCAAGAGTCTTCTTTAAAAGGCATCCAAAAATATATTGAAAAACCATTGTGATAGAGATGTTTATATTCTCTGCCTATCATGTCAAACTAATTACTCTAATAGCAAATTCTGCTTGCCCTTGGAACTACATGATATGGAAAATACTAAGCTTATGTTCGGATATTTTAGCACAAACACTTCGTAAACAGAACTGTGACCCCAATAATGGGTTCATCTTCTGGCACTCGACTCATCAAAGGACACAGAGAACCGAAATAATCTATATTTCATTTCCTGGGATATTTATGAGTATAACATGCAATATAAATATAATTAAGATCCCAGGTCTAGTTAGATTTCGGTTATGAATTCACTGGTTCATGACAAGTGGTAGAGCATGATTTCTAGAGATCTTTTAATAGCTAAGTCCTTAAAAGAAGCATTTAAATAATGATTTTCTTTATATGCCATATTTATACACTATTCTTATACTTCTAAGTGACCTAAGACATTCACACACAAAATGTTAATGAATTCAGTCACTTATCTTCAGACTTACTGTGTGTGGTGAATTTTAATGATCCATGAAGATACTTTCCCCCCAAATATATTTTGGGGATTATATTCCACCTATGACTTAAAACCCAGCCCAACTCTCAGACATGAAACATAAAGGAGAAATCGTGCCTTACCTCATACTCAGAAATTTCAGGTAAGGCTCCCTCATCTGCCTTCTCCAGCTTTTCAGCAGCCCACTTGCTTGCAGCCTCAGCAAGTTCCTTCTCAGTTAGCCGACTGGGTTTGTCTAACACCTAACAAAAAGAAGAGAATAGCTCTGGTACAACTGTCGAGAGTTCCTAGACTTCAAATACATTAACAAGTATACCCTCCAGTACTTCCACTTAAGACCATTTGAGCCTTCAAATTTATAGAGAGAACAGGTGTATTCTGTTTGCTTTTTCAAAACTATTCCACATAGAATTTCTCTGAGCAGCAATTTTTTGGGACATCTATAGACTAGATGTGCCTCTTACATTCAGCGAATAAAACTTCATGAATTTATCTAAGGTGTAAAAGACAGTGACAATTAACTAGTATACTTATAGTACTCAGAATATACAAGACATCTTATTGATTTCAACTTTGTATCATAGTCATTGAAGTGAATATTGGCAAAATTTCATGAAGGTAAATTCCTAATATAACAGAAAAGCACGGAGATGCTCTTTTTAAATTTGTGATTACTTATATAAATCCTACTTTTTACACAAAATTTATACACTAAATCTCATTTTTTGATACTACTACTTCCCTTCTTCAACCACGTACACTGAAACAAGGTATGAGATTTGGAGTTACAGACAAACCAGGGTTTGAAGTGGTTTCGTCATTTCCGAGGTAGATGATTTTATATATGTAACTTACAACACCATTTTAAGATGGAAAAGAGGTCACAGACTGCAAGTCTGAAGTATGATGCTTGGCAGTTTGCTTTTACTTGCCTCCTCATACTAAAAAATATTTGAAAAAAATCTATTAGTTCATGGAGTCAATATGGAGAAATAAAATGATGTTATCCGAACCGCATAATTCCCACAAAACTGTCTACAGACTTATGTTATAGAATAAAATATAAAACTTTTAAGGCAAAAATTAGAAAAGATCTTTCTTTGGGCCTTCTGGTTACTCTCCAATTCCATTCTGTTTCATTTTCATCAAGTAGGCCTGTCATCTCCAAGTATGTCCCACCTCTTACCTCTGTGACATCAGTGATTACAAACCTACCTCCTCTGATGATAGAACCAGCAAAAGTCCCCATATTATGGTACCCCACCATTTACAGAGCGCTTTTTAGACAACTCAAAGAAGTATTTTTATTCAGCTTACCCTGAAGCTGGTAAGGATAGACTTATTTCCCCAACATCTAAGTCAAGAAATTGAATTTGAAATTGGCAGCAAATTTGTTCACAGTCCATACCAAATGCTGAGCTGGGACTGAACACGAGCTCTTCTAGATAACAAAAGCCTTTAACCTCCTTTGCATAGTTTAATAAACTCCCCACACCACTGGCTGGCCATTTTAATATTTACTGGAAGACAGTAACAATGTGTCTACATGGAGTATTTCCACTGTCAGTGAAGAAACATACACATTACTCACTCCAAAGTTCTAACTATACCTGAATTTAAAAAGAGATGTGATACCTGCATTATTACTTATTAATAGAGCTAAAAGGCTTTAAAGCCAGGAGAAAAAAACACATACAAATAAACCCAATAACAAACATTATACCCTATCTTTTAATATCTGTTTTGAAGAGGATGTTATAGACAAAAAACAAACTGAACACTGTAAGTTATCTCCAGGATAGAAGGAAGCAATCTTCTACATGTTAACACTTCCCTTTTATTTGCCTGTCAATCTGTACACTTGAAAAACCCATTTGAAAATAGGTTCTAATAGCAGGAAATAAATTGAAAAAGTATTCCTACAGGAGGGCAGCCAAAATATTTAAAAGAAAAAGGCCTCCACCATCTAAAGAGGAAATCAAGGTAATAAACCTCCCCACAACTACCAAGAAACGCTGGACAAAGTAAACAGGAGACTGCATTTTTCCTATACTTAAAATGATTACAGGTCTAAAATTCTGAAATTCAGATTCCATTTTAAGTAACAAAATGCAAACACTTAAGTGAACCATCAAATATTTAAAATCCATTATTGTTGTTTCCCACTTAATATATTTTAACAAGTACCACAAACTCCTAACATATTCTAGTTCCCAGAAAATGAATATATTGTATACCATAATTTAAATATTCAGTGATTGAGATATGTAGGTACCATTTACTTTTCTTTGGTTTCTACGTGAGAAGAAAAACAAGCCACTCTTCAGGTCGGTAAAGCACCTTTACTATGACAAGACTGAAGCCAAAAAAATTCAACAATCTTTCTCATTTAAATTTCAGCATTCTAGAATCCTTAGATTTCTGAGAAAACTCTAAAGGGCCTCCCTGGTGACACAGAGAGTCGAGCGCAGTGTTGTGAAGCTGTTCGCAGCCTCTGCAGTGTTGGTTCAATCCCCAACCACCCAGGGAGATACCCACATGGCATGGCAGACCTCTCCTGTCTCGCCCACTACTCCCCTCAGCAGTGTTTTCAGTCAGTCTGCCTGTTCTGCTCCCCGCTCTGTCTCTGGTGAATCCTCTCACCCCCCCACACCTCTGGCCTGTACCCCAGCTCTTGTATGCATAAATAAATAAATCTTTAAAAAAAAAAAAAAAGAAAACTCTAAAGACACAAGTCACTGCAAAAACATCTTTTTCTTTTTTCCCTTGGAGGCAGAGAAATCGCAGCCACCTGCACACCAGCACACACTATTAGGCTACAGTTACTCTTGCTGAAAATCCAAACAAACCAAAGACACAGAAAACAAAGAATGTATCTGTACTTAGTATCTGTAGATACAGAAGAAGAGAAATAACATCAGTTATGGAGAATGAATGTGAGGTCAGTGAAAGCATCTCACTGCAGAAAACAGAAACAGCACCGTCACAAATGTTTAAGTTTTAATGATTAGAACACACATCAGAGCCTTCCCTGGTGGCACAGGCGGCTGAGCGCCATGCTGTGAAGCTGTCCGCAGCCTCTGCAGCGCCGGTTCAATCCCAGCCGGCCGGCAAGGGTCCCACAGGGCACAGCAGACCTCTCCTGTCACACCCGCTGCTCCCCTCAGCAGTGTATTTTGTCAGTCTGCCTGTTCTGTTCCCTGCTCTGTCTCTGGTGAATCCTCTCACCCTCCCGCATATCTGGCCTGTACCCCAGTACTTGTATAAATAAATAAATAAATCATTTTTAAAAAAGGGAAAAAAGAAAAGAAACACATCATCTTTTCAACAAGCTTGGGGATGCTGGGAAGGTAGGAATGAGAAGATGATGTACGAGTAGCTTTGTCTTTGAGAAAATTATATCCTGAGCCTATTCTAAAAGAGATAAATATCTATTTTTATTTTTTTTAATTTATATATATTTTTTACATCATTGTACATTTTTGTATAATATATGCTTGTATACTCTCTCCTTTCAGATGTATTTCCCATAAAATTGCCACCACTGGGGCCTCCCTGGTGGCGCAACGGGTTAAGCACCACATTGTGAAGTGATCCACAGCCTCTACAGCATGAATTTGATCCCGGGCCGGCCAAGGAGCAACCCACATGGTGCAGCAGACCTCTCCTGACTCGCCTGCTGCTCCCCTCAGTAGTGTATTTTGGTCAGTCTGCCTGTTCTGTTCCCCACTCTGTCTCTGGTGAATCCTCTCACCCCCCACCTCTCTGGCCTGCACCCCCAGCTCTTGCATACATAAATAAATAAATCTAAAAAAAAAAAAAATTCCCAACACCAATTCACCTGTGAACCATCACCATAGTCCTTATGCTCTTCCCTCCCGTTTTGATCCCTCTCCCTCCCCCAGCCCCACAGAATGTCTCTGATTTATAGTTGCCTGCTAATTTTTTTATTTATTATTATTGTTATTTTTTTTCTGATCCCTTATATGGTTCCCCTATATTCTTTCTATAAGTGAAACCATCCGACATTTTTCTTTTTCCTTCTGGCTTATTTCACTGAGCGTAATCCCTTCTAGCTCCATGTTGCTGCAAATAGCATGAGTATGTCTCTTTTGATTGCTGAGTAGTATTCCATTATATATATATATATAATATATGATATATAATATAATCATAATATATAATACATTATATATATAATATATATTCCATTATATATATACATACACACACACACGCACACACACACACACATATATAGACTGCAACTTTTTGATCCAGTCATCTGTTTTGGGGGCATTAGGTTGTTTCCTGATATTAACTACTGTAAATAGTGCTACAATAGTGCTAATCATAGGAGTTCAGGTTTCCTTTTGTACTAATGTTTTTGTGTCCTTTGGGTAGATTCCTAGGAAGGAAATCACTGGATCATATGGTAGCTGCAGTTTTAATAATTTGAGGAAACTCCACACAGCTTTCCACAGTGGTTGGGCCATTTTGCATTCCCACCAGTAGTGTAGGAGAGTTCCTTATTTTCCACATTTGTTGCTGCCTGTTTTTTTAATATGTGCCATTCTTACTGGTGTATGGTGGTATTTCATTGTGGTTTTGATTTGCATTTCCCTGATTATAAGAGATGTTGAACATTGTTTCATAGATCTGTTGGCCATTTGCACTGCTTTGGAAAAGTGTCTTTTTAGCTCTTTTGCCCATTTTTTGAATGGACTGTTTACTTTGCTTTTGTTGAGTAGTGTGAGCTCCATGCAGATCCTTGTGATCAGTTCCTTACAATTGTATTGTGTGCAAAAACTTTCTCCCAATTAGTAGGATGTCTGTTTTGATTAGTGTCTCTTGCTGTACAGAAACTTTTTAGTTTGATGTAGTACCAGCTGTTTATCTTTTCCTTCACTTTTTTTGCTTTGGGAGATGTGTCTTTAAAGATGTTTGACATACATGCTTTTTAAACTGCAAAATAGTTACAAACATAGTGTTAGTTGACACATTCATCAAGTCACATAATTATTTCTTTTTTGTGGTGAGAACACTTAAGATCGCTCAGCAAATTTCAACTATAATATTATTACCATCATTATTATCTTCAATCACTATATTGCATGGTAGAGACCCGTAACTTATTCATCTCATAACTGAACGTCTGTATTCTTTGACTAACATCTCCCATTCTTTCCCTTCCCCAATCACCTGGACACTACTCATCAGTTTCTGGGAATCTGGTTTTTTTTAGATTTCACATATACATGAGATTATACATCATTTGTCTTTCTGTCAGACCTCTTCACTTAATACCCTTCAACCATGCTGTCATCACAAGAGGCAGGAATTCCTTCTAATATTCCAAAATGCACTTAGATAATATCTTCTTTATCTATTCATCCATCGAGAGACACATAGGTTGTTTCAGTGTCTTGGCTACTGTGTTCAATGCTGCAACAAACAAGGAATGCAGATATTCGTTTAACTTCCTTTAGATATACAACCAGAAGTGGGCTTGCTGAATTATATGGTAGTTTTGTTTTTCATTTTTTAAGGAACAGCCATACTGTTTTCCATAGTGGCTGCACAATTTACAGCAGTGATAGTGTAAAAGGGTTCCCTTTTCTCCACAACCTTGCCAATTAGTGTTATCTCTTGTCTTTCTGACTTCCTAATAGGTGTCATTGTGGTTTTGCTCTGCATTTCCCTGATGATCAATGACGTTGAGCATTTTTTTCATACGCCTGTTGTCTATCTGTGCTTCCACTTGGAACAGTATCTATTGAGTACCTCTGTACTTTTTAATCAGATTGTTTGGACTTTTTCTTTTGATTTGTATGAGTTCCTTGTATACATTAGACATTAACCTTTTATCAAATACATTTGTAAACATGTTCTGCCATTGTTTAGTCTTTCGTTGATGATTTCCTTTGCTGTGCAAAGACGTTAAACTTGATGTAGTTAGTGCCACTTGTTTATTTTTGCTTGTGTTGCCTTTATTTTCGGTGTCAAATCCAACAAATCACTATCAAGATCAATGTTAAGGAATTCACCATCTATGATTTCTTCCAGGACATCTGGGGTTTCAGGTCTTGCATTCTAGTATTTAATTGGCTGAACTGATTTCCACATCTGGTGTAAATTAGGAGTCCAGTTTCATTCTTTTACATGTGACTACCTATTTCCCCAACAGCATTTATTAAAGAGATTGCCTATTATCCACTGTCTATTCTTACTCCTTGGCCATCTATATATTCATGTGTTTATTTCTGAAGTCTCTATTGTGTTCCTTATCTGTCTTATGCTAATACCACACTAAACTACAACTCTGTGATAAGAGTTGAAATCATAAAGTATGATGCCACCAGCTGTGTTGTTCTTTCTTGAAATTGTTTTGGCTATTTGGGATCTTTTGTGGCTCCACGGAAATTGTAGGATTTTTTTTCTGTGAAAAATGAGATTGGAATTTTAAGAGGAATTACACTGAATCTACACACTGCTTTGGATAATATGGATGTTTTAACAATATTAAGTTTTCTAATCCATGAGCACATAATATTTATTTGTGTCTTCTTCAATTTTTTTCATCAATGTTTTATAGTTTTCGGGGTCCAGATATTTCAACTCCTAGATTAAATTTTATTCCTAAGTATTTTATTCTTTTTTGATGTTATTGTAAATGGAATCACATTCTTTTTTTTTTTTTTTTTTTTTAATTTTTTTTTTTTTTTTTATAGAGGCATGTTTTATTTATTTATTTGTTTGTTTGTTTGTTTTGTTTATACATGCACTGGGTACAGTCAGAAGCGCGGGAGGGTGAGAGAATTCACCAGAGCCAGAGCGGGGAGCAGAGCAGGCAGAAGGACCGAAGTACACTGCTGAGGGGAGCAGCGGGCGGCAGGAGAGGTCTGCGCGCCATGTGGGACCCTCCTCCGGTGGCCGGGGAGCAGCTGGGGATCGAACCGGCGCCGCAGAGGCCGCGGGCAGCTTCGCAACCCAGCGCTCAACCGCTGCGCCACCGGGGAGGCCCGGAATCACATTCTTAATTTCTCTTTGAGATTGTTAATTATTGGTATATAGAGAAACACAACTGACTTGTATGTTGATTTTGCACCCCACAACTTTACCGAATTTGTGTATTTCTAAGTTATTTGGTAGATTCTTTAGGGTTTTCTGTATGTAATATGTCATCTGCAAATAGAAAACTTTGCTCCTTTCTGATTTGGATGTCTTTAATTTCCTTTCCTTGCCTAACTGGTCTGCGCAGGCCTTCCAGGAGTATGTTGATTAAAAGTGGCAAGAGTGGGCACTCTTGACTTATTCCTGGTCTTAATGAAAAAGCTTTGCCCTGTTTCACCATTAAGCATGATATTAGCTGAAGGGCTGTCAAAAATAGCATTTTTATGTTGAGGTATAGTCCTTCCATATCCAGTTTGTTCCATTTTTATTGTAAACAGATGTTGAATTTTGTCAAATGCTTTTCTGTCTCTATTTGGATGATAATGATTTTATCCTTCATTTTGTTCTATGTTTTATAACATATTGATTGATTTGAAGATGTTAAACCATCTTTGTATCCAGAACAAATTCCACTTGATCATGGCTCATGAACCTTTTAATGTGCTGTTGAATTTGGTTTGCTAATATTTTATTGCTGATATTTGCATCCACCAAGGATACTAGTCTGTAATTTTTCTTTACTTGTAGGGTCCTAGTCTGCTTTTGGTGTCAGGGTAATGCATGACTTGAAGAGTTTGAGAAGGATTGGTATTCTTTCAATGTTTAGGACAATTCACTAGTGAAATAGTTTGAGAATATTAACTTCCAAGCCTTTTATATTAAATGGGGATATAGGCCTATTTATATCATGAGATTTCTATATGAATTAAAAAGAGAAAATACTTTCTATAGCATCCAGAAACCACTATTTACACAGTGAATGTCAGGCCTCTGCCTATAACCTACCCCACAGTCTATCAAACATGCTCCATCTTAATAGTCACTTCTACCTGGTCGAGGTGAGCAAGGACCACAATAAGGGCTAATTTTAGCATAACCTGTGGAAAAATTTCAATAAAGAACACTGTTCATTTACTCTGGTCACTACATTCGAGTTGTGGTTACTTAAAATTCAAGTTTCTAAATGCAGCAAATTATGCAGACATAAAAAAATAAAACTGCTGGACTGAACAGTCTCATTTATTCTGTAATTCCTCTTTAAATTGATTTTAAAACATAACAAACCTTTGATGAAGGAACTGCTGAAGAACTTGAGGGTGAAGTGTCTCTCGATGTTTTCAATGCCTGAACAGGCCTTTCTTTACCTACATAAGAAATACAAAATGCAATTTTCTAGCTCATTTGTTTCCAATTACAGTAATTTTGTTATTGAATAAATGAGGGGAGTCATACACTTGGTTCAGCAAAGAAATCTTCATTGTATCATTAAATCAATTCTGTTAACATCTAAATCCACCTCTCTCTCTCTCTCTCTCTCTCTCTCTCTCTCTCTCTCTCTCTCTCTCTCTCTCTCTGGGCCGGGGCACAAAAATTTCAAATAACCTCTAACCAGTGGCCATCACATAATCTAGTTCATACCAAAGCTAGTTAGTTAGCAAACATGGAGCACTTATAAGAAAGGCAAAAATATTTTAAAATCATAAACGTTTTCTCTTCCAAGTTCCTAAAAGCTATTTTTTAATACATCACAAAGTCCAAGGTAGATATGTTATAGTTGCCACCAAAGAGAACTAGTTGGTTAAATGGTAGCTCAAAGTCAGAGACATGTAGAAAATTTAGCAGGTACTCCAGAAAAGTTTGGACAGTTTAAAAAATAAAAACTAGAAAATTATCATTCAGAGCACAAACAGTACCTGGTATAAATGAGTACCCAAATATTTATTAAGTGGTTAATAAATAATTCTACATAAAGCCGCTACCTTCACTCACCCGTTACTGACACTCACGTGGTGCTATATGTAAACACCATTGTTTTTAATAGAAACTTAGGCCAGAAAACAGATTTTAAGGATTTCAGGTTTTAAAATTTTTTTATGTACATATATTTTCTTAATTAATTTTCTTATGTTGTCGTTGATTGTTGGACAGTATTTGGTTTCTCTCATCAGGTGCTGTCCCGGTAATTCTCCCACTACCACAGCACCCTGACCCATCACCACAGTCCCTTGTGCTCTTCCCTACCAGTTTTAAAAATAGATTTAAACAAAATTATTGAAGTCAGTTTAACAACAACTCTGAGCTGTTACTAATAGAAAACAATGCTTAATTGCTAAGAAAAGTGACAAGTTCAATTCAGGGGAAGAAAGTGGCACCGAGTTTGGAGTGACACAGAAGCTGGTCAAAACCGGACAATGTATTAAGGCCAGAAAAGCAGTCAAGAGCAAAAGCGGACACAAAATGACACTGAAACCTAGGCAAAGCCAGCTTTAGTCAAAAACCTCTTAAGCTCTTCTTGCTAAGGTCAAAATAAACTAAATAACAGCCTGGAGGCTAAAAGTAAACTAAGTAACAGCCTGGAGGCTGAAAGTCTCCCCCACCTAAGGCAGAAGTAGTGCCAGCTCTGTCTGAGGTACCAGAGACACAGAAAGCCCTCTCAAGCCACTACCCTTACCTCCCCAGGCTATGTGGCAACAATGTGGGATATACTTTGGCATTTCCCAAGTGGGATAATGCCACAGGCACACCTTATGTTGAGACCAGGAATGCCGCTGACACACCAAAGAAGCACAGGGCAGCCCTACATGGTAAAAGCTTGTCAAGCCTCAAGAGCCATCAGTGACAAGGCTGCAAACACCTGTTTGAAATGTAATATTCCACTCTTAAGTTGCAACCTAGTCTTAAAAAAGACAGACCCCTCGAGTCTTTTAACTTGCAGTATCATTAAGAAGTTTTCGAAAGTTCTTATGGATCTTAAAAATCAAAAGTAAAATGATACCAATGTTACATCCCCAATTACGACTGGCAAAAATGGCTTACTTAGTCTTTTCCTTCCTACTAAGTCTTCATTAGGTATGGCAAATTCCACATCTTTCTGTGAGTGTTTGGCTGTCCCCTTGCACTAAAATCTCCCAGAAGAGTAAGTATCATAGCTTATTCACTTCTGAATATCCAAGGCCTATCTTGCTCAAATCCTTTAAAAAAAAGAGAGACACTCAAAATTTAGTGAAAAGGTAATTATTGTTCTACCCATAGGATGCATGACATCCTCAGCAAACTCTTAAATGAGGAGCTGGATCAATCAGCACAGCACATTTTTCTAATTAAAGGCATAACTGTAAGTTCAGTTCTGAACCACAGCAGCAAGACACCAGAAAAAAAACCTTTCACAAACTTTTGTTAATCTCTCAGCATTTCTCCTTTACAGACAAGACATGAGCACTGCAAGTATGCCAGATAGATGCCAAATATAGTCTCAAGATCTTTCCCGATTTTCAGCTGCGTAAGCAGATTTCAACCCATCTCAGGTGCAGAAGCAAAGAACGCTGAAGGGGAGGGTAGATGGTGTATCATATATTCACATATATTCATATATGCCTGCTACATGAAGGGGAGGGACATGCGAGAAGCAAAGGATAAAGAAAAAGGATGATACAGAGGACAGCAGAAAGCACAGAAAAGGTAAATAAAAATCCCCTGGTTTTACTGTGTCAGGTCCAATCTGGCAATGACTCTTTTATATCATGCAGATCTCAAATTCCTATGAGGTGCTACTTCTCAACGGGAGGCTTTGCACAGAAAACCACCCCAAATTCTCTCAATGCCTACAACCTGAGTCCACTGCTGGTCAGCTCTGGTTCTGCAAGTGGACGAATGGAGCAGTTGTGCACTTTCCCCACTTCCATTACTTCTATCCATCCAAGGCCCCCACCCTTCACAATCCCAAATCAAATCTAGCTCAAAACTCACCTCTTTCTGGCTTTCCTTCATTCTGCCGTTTGTAGGAGGCACCAGCACGCACGGACTCTAGGGAAAGGCGGGCAGGGGGGAATTAACACCAACACCTCTGCGCCCAGGAAGAACAAGAGAAGATCCCAGAAGTAGGAGTGATAAGAACAGCAACTTCTGAAAACTTGCTGGTGACCCCTAACTCTCTGCTACCCTGTGCTCAAGTTGGGCTGCCTAAGTAAGCACCACTGAAGAGGAATAAAAAGGAGAAAATCTAAGACTGGAAGCAAAGTGGACCCAATAACAATGAAGTGTAAAGATGAGGCTAACCAAGGACAGCATGGACAGAATAAAATGAAAAGTGGATCATAAGACACCAAAAGTTGAAGGTGGAATCATCTTACTCATCGTGGTAAACAGTCTGATCTCCACAAAGGATCAGTCAGGTTAAAGAATGACGCAAAAAAAAAAAAAAAAAAAAAAACTAACTAAAAAACACAACCAAGAGTGAAAGGTGAATCATCAAACACTGGGAAGGCATCAGTTCCTAGGCTTACAAAGGCTCTCTGTCAGCAGTTGTTCCAGATTGCTCTGAACAACTAGCCTGTGATTAGTCTTACATAAACTCATATATGAATCTTCTTTAGAAATATCCACACTACTGTCCTGCTTGAACCCCTAATCATCCAATATTTACAATCATATAAATACTGTTAAGCTTTCTTACTTGCAAACATTTGATGATGCAGATGCAATCAGCCTTATGAAGCGTCCACATATACTAGTACATACTACACATACCAGATATCCTTCCCCAAACGTGCAGAAAATCCTTAACATTTAATTCTTCTTCTGTGATAGATTCCAAATAGCTAATTTTATGTTTTTTCTATTTCTAATAACACACGTTAGGGATTATTTTGGCATCGTCGGCCCTTACATTTAAAAAGAATTTCAAGAAATATCACACATGTTGTTGAAGACGCCATGTCCTCATTCACTGATCTGACATCAGAAAAATTTTTGTTCCTAAGCAACTGATTTGTTTTTAAAGTATGCTGTGAATACTGTTACTGCTCATATCCTCTTTGTTTTAGCCAAATCCTTCCTATAGCCACTGTTCAGAGTCTTAGATGCGTTTATTTCATGTACTTATTCATTTTCATACCCTTATTTCCCTCTGACATAAAATTCTTCATCCACTTACTTAATACTGTTTTATTACATGTCTAGTTTGTCAACCTGCCTCAAATTCTTTGTAGCTCAAGAGGTTAGAATAGTGGTATTTTACAGAAGTGAGTGGGGTCTGGGGTTGGCTCATAACAGCTGGTGAGATCCCCATATCTCTTCTAAACTCAGGATTCGATGACTCCATACTGGTAGCCTAAAACTAGTAATACGATTCCATCGATTTCATGGAAATCAGCAAAATCCACAAAACATTCATCCCCACCCCCCCATGAAAAGTCAGTTTATCAATGTACCACTGGCACTGTGTTCATTGATTTGGATACCAATTTCAGAGGTTCTATAGAAATTTCCACATTTAACAATAGATTTCTATCCCTGTTGTCTTAAACAAGCAGGAGCTATTTAATGATATCCTCACAGAACAGACAAACCACACAGATAAACAGAGTGCAAACTGCAGGTTCATAAATAAACAAGTGGTTCTTTTAATCCAGTAAGATTTACAATATCTTAAGACAACAGGAAACATCAAAAACTCCATTGTGCTTTAATTCTCATCCCAGAGTTTTCAAGTCTGTTCATATTAAAACTAAAGACCTTTCTTCTTGTAATAGAGCATAAAACGCCCCCTATTACAGCATTTTATGATTCATAAACAAGTTTTCTTATTATTTTTTCATTTGCATTTTATATCTTTGTGACTCTGGATACATCTGCCTATGTCTTCCTAACTAAAGCTTCCTCTTCTTTGTCTATTATTGTTCCTACATGTGCGTGTTCTTCCTGCTTAAATTCTTTTTGCTCTAGTTACATGGCTGCAAACAACACTATGGGTAAAAATGTCTCCCAATCCATTTCTCTCACTCACAGGTCTCCACTTCTGACACCTTAGCCATTTAGCCATTACCTCCAATTTTCCTCACACACAGTCTTAGCAGAACCTAACTTCCTATTTAAATGCAGGCCAGAAAGTCTAACAGTCTTGTCCAAGCTTTGACTTGATGAAAAGAATGAATTCCAATTGAGGTGAAGGAAAGAGATCAGGAGAGAAAAATTCTGAAGGTGGCAGCATGTCACCCAATGTCAATATATTGGTGAATGAATGAAAAAATGAAGAGGAAGAAATAAAAAGGAGTTTCAAATACTGGTTCCATGGGCCAGGAATCAAGTTCTTCCATGCAGGTGAAATCAAAGCTTGGGAAGCAGCTTGGTGTTCCAATTAACATTTAGAAGTTTCTGTAGGAGGTGAACACATCTGATCACTCTTTGACTGTAACAGCTGCTATGAGTAGCGATCGTCCACAGCATGTGCTGACTCTGACTATACTACTACTTTCTTCCTGATGTGTTTTCTAATGAGAGCAACGGTGAGCCTAATCAAATGCATCCTATCAAGTGTTAATTATTGCTAATCCATGGAGGACCAAAGGACACTGCTAGGGAAAAAATTAAAACCATCATTAGTGGTGATAGTCGCTGTGTTTTGCAAACTATTAATTTGGCCCAAACTAAATTTTTGGCCTAGTACCAGGAACAAGAGAAATTATTTTGAATGCGAGTCTTATCAAAAAATAAACTTCATAGCATAGGCAGTATATTCATCCCTCCTTTGAGAACAGAAGCATTCAAAGGGAAATTAAGATACAAACCAATGAAAACATAATAGCTATTCAGATTCTAAGAAAATGATTTATTTTTCTGGACCATGGACAATTTACCAATATATAAATTTGGGCTACTGATTAGGTAGAACATGATCTCTCACAGATCTAATGGTTTAGAAGATGGGAAACAGAAAATAGAGGCGATCACAAGAAAAATGCTCCTGTAGAAAAATACCAAATAAGACGGGGAAAAAAACAGATTAGAGGGGTAAATAAAGCTTTACACCACCTCCACTGCCCAAAAGAATTATTTTTTAGAGGTTAGAGAGGCAAAAAGTTGAAGTAAAGGCATATTAACTATGAATACTTAGAAGTGTTCTTCTGAACAGAACAATTAGTTAAAACCATAAGCGCTCACTTAAAAAATATAAATAAAAAATTAAGGCCCTAACCAGGGATGTTAGACATGCTCACACACATGGCGATGTCATTCATTGGTTACTGCACTGGACCCTCTCTCACTCAGATGTCAGCTACAGGTGTGCTCCCAGGATATGCCCACAACACAGCCAGAGCTCTCGTGTGAGTAAACAATGGGTCCCCAAACAAGAATAAAGTACAGAATCTAATTTAACAGTATAACTGGTATCTGGATCAGTTATCAGTCCAATATTAAATTATACTTCAGGGACTCCACATAATACTGATCACCACAATGCTTCTCCACTTGCACCCCGACCAACTTCTACTCACTCTTCAGATACCAAGTAAATGTCTATTCCTTTGTTATGATTGTTTGTTTCCCTTGCTAGATCAAAAACTCAGAGGGCAAACACTGCAACTATCTCGTTTTGGCACTTCTGTAAAATATATTTTTGTTGAATAAAAGATACCTGAGCATTGAACACAAACACTAGGTTTGATAGTCAACTGCTAAGAGAATGGATTCATCCTCCCTATCACTAAAAACTCATTATCCATTGATAAAGCCTTATTTCCACATTCCCACTGTCATCCTAAACCTGCACAAAAGCAAACAACAACAAAATCCACCTTTCTAAAGGCAGAATTAAACCTCTAAATTCCACTGGACTCCCACCTAATCTAAAATTTATGCGGATTCCCAAAATACTCATAGTCAACAGGTCTTCAGACATACCTTTTCCCACGACAGTGAAGTTCAGTAAGTGAGTCTATCTTACAAACAGATTCTTCTCAAATACTGTTTTTAATTTTTGTACATTTTCATTAACTTGAAAGATTAAACGCTGATGAATAATAGCATTTCTTTAAAATATATTTTATTCTTAACAATGGCTGCTGATATCAAGACAATAAATGGAGTGCATGATGGTGATAATACCCAATGGCATTACCTCAGTTAAAAATTAATTAACTAATGTAAAACGATTTTACAGTTTTAAAAAAGAAAAAGACAATAAGGAAAGGCTGGGATCAAAGTCAGAGCTTTAGAAAACAGACACAAAACAATAAATTGTTGAACTTGCAAACCTCCAGTGGCAATGGCACTGTAAACACTGAGCCAAAGTGTCACCCACCCTGATCAATGCATGAGCATCACTGGCAACGTTGACATTCATCCACAGCAAATGTTTAAAATAAATTAACCAAGAGCTAGCTTGTAAATACTTAGATAATCATCCCTAGGAGCCACAAAAGATTTATAAAAACAAAACAAGACAATCTTTCTATGACTGTTGCAATAGAGGAAATGTTTTGTAATTTTAACATTTTCAAGAAAGTGCAGACAACTGGCTGAATAACAACTATTGTAGATGAAATGACTGAGGTCCTGAGAAAGGGGTCTCTAGAGGTTTCCGTATTTGGCCTTATGCTACACAATATAATTATTAATGATAAATACAAAACACATACAGCCTGCTTCCTCTGAAGATAAAACAAAGCTGTTCTTACCTGTTACCAATATATAAGTTCACTAAATGATGTTTTGGGACAGCTAAAAAAAGAGACTATAAGCCAAAGTTGATTAGGTACAATCCAGCATTCCTAGATTTGATTTTTTTTTAAAAGATTTATTTTTACATATAAGAGCTGGGGTATAGGCCAGAGGAGGGGGTGGGGTAGCTGAGAGGATTCACCTGAGAGTGGGGAGCATAACAGGTGGATCCAATGCTGAGGGGAGAAGTGGGCGAGACAGGAGAGGTCTGCTGCACTGTATGGGTCAGCTCCCTGGCTTGGGATCGAACTCATGCTGCAGTGGCTACCAAAAGATTCATAGCACTGAGACTTAACCCCATGCGCCACCAGGGAGGCCCCATTCCTAGATTTTTAAGATGCATTAACTACCAACAAACAATTGCAGCTGATACAAAAATACAGGCTGAAATTTACCAGTAACTTGTGAAAATGGCTTCAGTTTTAGTTGCCTACAGTCTCAAGGGCCAGTAATACAAGGAGGCTGACAAAACAAAAGTTCACTTACAGCTTCACAAGTTGAAAAGAACAGAAAGAAAATTAGGAATACAAAAAGTGTGAACATGATGTCAAATAAAAGAAACAGCTTATGTAACCATACTTAAACCTGGGGCAAGGGGAGAGGAGTAGAATCAAGAGGATTATGATGGTATTCTTCAGATACATAAAAGTTTGCAACATAAAAGAAATAATGTTAGGCTCTAAGACAAGTAACTAGTATTGCATAGATTTTACAAGAAAATGTTTTAACAGTTTTATAAAAAATGAACTATACAAAGATGAAATGACTGGTCTGTGATACAGTACACTCATCACAGGAAGTACTTTCCACAAAAAATGGGCATGGGAGATGGAGTTTAAATGATCTCTGGTACCACTATTAAAGTTATTGTCCTAAGCAGAAGGTAAATAACAAAAAGCATAAGAAAAATGGGACTCATTTGAGAAAGGGGAGAAAAAAGGAAATACCTGAGGAGATATTTATGGGGGAGTGTTTGGTTAATCAGAATAAAAAATAAACTTCAGGTTAAAAAATATACAAGGCAGAAGTCCCACAACAAATAAGGGGAAAGGAAATAGAGTCAACCGGAACAGACTACACTATTAGCGCATAAATATCAACAACAAAAAGGAGCAAAAAATAGCAAAATGGTCATATCTATATCCAAATTAGTCCAATTAAGTTACAGGCAGAAAATTCTTATACAAAAAGCACGGATGAAAACAACAGTTTGATTTAGGAGGATGATTAGTCTAAAGCAGTACAAAGTTCCATACGATTAACCCAAATGGATAAGCAGAGTAAATTTAATTAAATACATGTGTGAAAACATGTGCACACATGCAGGCATGTAAGCACAAAATGAGAAACAAATAGCTGAGATGGGAAAGTATTAAAAATCTTTCTGTGGCTTATAATTAAGTACTTAAGAGAGATATTAAATGTATGTAAGAATTAAGAAGATTGAGTGCTTGAGTGGTCACCACGGCCAAAGTACTAGTAATCATTAGAACAAGTAAAATTACCAAGAAAAATAGGAACAGAAAGCAAAAAATTTAAAACTAAAGAATTAATAAAATGAGGTCATAAGGAGTAAGAAAATTATTTTTACCTGTTATTTATATAACCATTTAAAATCTTTGTCAAAATTTTAAATAGAGCAGAAAAGCTAAATTAACATATCATTGTTAACTAATACATAATTAATCCAGTTTAAGCGATAACATAATTAAAGGACCCCTTTCACTCAGTCCTTTTTTTGAAAAGGCAAAGTGACATCAATATTTATGACATTTAGATTCAAAGAAAAATTGATTATCACAAAATGTAAAATAACAATTACAGGACTTCTCCATTATCATTTTGTAAGATGATGTTTTTATTCTGAAAACTATTTACTCAAAAGGAGTTACAGAAAATGTTTGTAATAGTTCAGCCCAAATAGTTAGGAAATCAACCCAAGTTACAAATAAAGAGATTTCCCAGAATAAACTTTTTTTCCATCTAACTGTAAATAATGAAAAAACTATTTAAAAAAAAACAGTTAAGAAAGAAGTTAAAAGAAGAAGAAACAGAAATATCCTATACTTTCCTGGTTTCTAGACTTTGGCTTAGAATTCCTTCTACCTGGAAGACACTTCCTCACCTGTACAAATTTGAAATAAAACCACTCCCCCATCACCCCCAGTATGTTTCACTGATTTATTCCAACACATACTAAGCAACTCACCAGGGTGACAGGCTCTGGCCGCACACAATGCATGTGCAGGTGACCAAGCAAAAACTTAACAAATTGGAGACAGGAGAAGACTGAGCCCATGGTAGGTTGTAGCTCTAAATACTCTTTAGGATTAAACACATTTTTCATGTAAAACATACTATTGAATATTTAACGATACCCATATTTAACAATGATACCTAGTGACAGGAGATTATAGAGGTTGGACCAGCCCAAGAACCAGCAGAAAATACAGGTAGGTAAGCATGACCTTCCGACATGATCATAAACACACCTCGTTCTGCCACACTCAAGAATTAGACATGAAATACCACACAAACTTGAAGCAGTGCCCAAATGGGGTAGGTGTGGTGTTCATTATACTAGTCTTTCCTCTTAGCTGTAAGTTTGGAGATTTTCAAAATAAAGTCAAAACAAAACATCTCTAAGGCAATCTAACTCAGTACATTCTCATCAGCAGAGGTTGTAAAAGAAGAAAGACTATCTCACAAATACATACTTCTATGTTGAGACTGGTGAAAAGAGTACGATTTGCTTCTTTCTGGAGAGTAGCTTCTACTGCTGACACTGGAGCCAGATCTGCTATGAGGAGAATCCTTTCGGCCTACAGGTGATTCTCTGAAAAAAGGAGTATCTCTTTTATGAGGAGACCGGTCCCTCACATAATGGGAAGAGTAGAAGCTTTTTCTTCTGAAGCCATCTCTCATATCCCTTTGGAGAAAAAAATAAAATAATTAATTATATACTGTATTCTATATATACAAAAGTTCTGATTATAAGCTATTCTTTATGTTGTGATATTTTTTTTAACCACCTAACTTCTGAAGTCATTCCACTAAAAGGGCACTTTGTTGGTGAAGTAAGATTTAGAATGCATTTTGTCACAAAAATGAGCAAGGTGATTAAGTTACTTAAGTTACTTAATTCTAAGCAAGCAAAGGTTTTAAAATGTGAAAAAGAGTCATACAGATGCTACCTCTACTTGCCATTAACACCATACTAAATGCACTACCACAGAGATCCAGGGAATGACAAAGATTTCCCTAGTGAGACATTCCGTGGCCTATTACCTCATTCTAAATACATCATAGACTACTGGTTTTCAATGATTTTGCATCCCTAGTGACAAATTAAGAATGCCAACAGATAGTTCTGTTGTCAAAACTGGAGGGGACAGGCCGGGAAGGGAACCACGGGTGGACAGGGATACTGCTAAATTCCCACAATACCCAGGCCAGCTCCCAGACACAGAACAAAAAACTACCCAACCCAAATGTTAACAAGAAGCCCTAATAGGTAGCTATCAAGTATTTGCTCTCCAAGTTTGTAGCTTTAGTGTACTGATTGTTGCCCATCTCTAAATACCGATTTTCATCACCTCTACTTTTACACATTAAAATTTTTTGTTGAGCGATGCCATCAACTCAAAGCAGAAAATGTGAGTAGTAAAACTTTACAAAACAAAACTCTTTCAAACATCAAAGTAAATCAAAATTATTCAACTATCAAGATTTGTGCCTCTGTTTAAAAGAACACTTAGGAATCAAAAGAGATTTTAAAAGATTTAGCAAATATACAACCATATCAAAATTAAAGAATAGTAAATCTCAGACAGAAAACTGCTAAGAGACAAACCAGGGGTGGGTGAGGAACCACACGTAAGTGTACTCTGTGGACCCACTAAACATGGGGTCTGACTAACGACAGGGAGACACAGGGGGTGCCAGGTTGATTCCCAGAGTTCCGGCAGGATGAATTATTGAAAGAAGAAAAGAAGACTTGGAAAACAAGGATGGCAAAAGACTCAAATTTAAACTGAACATGTTAGGGTTGAGATGTTTCTGTAATATCCTGGTAGGTAACTAAAGTTACAGGCCACACACGCAGAAGAGGTTTTTGGCTATAAATACAAATTTGTCTGTAAATAAGCAGTATTTAAAGACATGGGTATGGATGACAACAACGGATGAGAAGACAAGTGGGCCGAGAGAAATAGCACACTGAGAGAAAAATGAGTAGTGAAAGAAAGAACAGAGACAGGAGGGAAACCTGATAACAAGTTACCGGAGAAGTCAAGGAAAGTGCACCCAGAAGGGTAAAGGTTTTATTTACTACAGTAAAATTAAATGAACTCTTGCTGATAACTTAGTCAGGAGATAGTAATACGCAGGACCAGATTCAAAGATGGTCTTCCAGAGGAAACAAAGGAGGAAATGCTGAGCTAAACTTTCCTAAATCTGACACCAGGTGGCGGTAAAATCACAGGACAGTGCAGAACTACCAATGTGGCTGGGGGTGGCTGAATACACCTGGGGGAAGAGCAGGTTTGATTTTAATGCCTCAGAGCAGTAATGTCTCTCGGACTCTTCAAGTCAACCTCTCCTACAGTCCATCAGATTAAGCAAAACTATCACAATAAGCATCATTTATCATTTCCTCTTGATATAGTAGTAATATTAGCCATTTGTTCATGTATCTTTTTCTGGTGTCTTTAAACCTCTACCTCTACACACACATACATGGCAGGGGCGAGGGGGGGTAGAGAGACCCCATGTTCCAGAAAGGAGGGTGAAGGGGGAGTACCATTATTTAAAAAAGGGAAGGGAAATGTGTATTAGTAAATAGAAAGCTGGCGGGATGGTGGTAGCAGCATTTCTTACTGAGGTTTAAATGAACATTACCTAATAGAAATATAAACTGAACCACAGATGTGGTATTCATGTTTAAAGGGTAAAGAAAAACAGGTAGAATAAATTTTAGCAATACTTTTTACTTAACCTAACATATCCAAGATATTAACATGTAACCAAAATTTAACAAGTTATTTTACATTCTGTTTCATCTGAAATCTTGAGACTCCAGTGTGTGTTTCATACTCGCCTAGTATTTCAGTCTGAACATTGCAAGTGCTCGATATGCACAGGCAGCCAAGGGGTCCCATCCACAGACGTGGATGGTGGGAAACCATCCCAAGCTTCAAGAAAAAGCGGAGAGGGATTAAAGGGCCTTATGTGAATGAGGACAGAAATAGTTTGAATGGTGAAAATGTTAAAAAGCAGTGACTACAAAGCAAAAGAAACAAAATTTTAGAGGAAATGCTACCTAAATGACAAATACTGCAGAGACTGAAAGAGATCTCTGCATTTAAGATTTATGAGCCATATGACTAGTGAATTGGTTATCATGGAAAACTTTGGAAATTAAAGCAGACTGGAAGAAAATTTAGATCTACTGGAAACATTAAGCCATTACTTTTCTCATAAAAGTTTGGCAAAGAAAGAGAAAGAACAGTATTTTGAGAGTAGGGGTTTATATGAGCATATCTGAACATGAAAAGGCCAATTTCTGATGAGAGGTAAAAATGATAGTCCAAGACACAACAATGCTACCTGATAAAGGAGTCAAAAATCAACCGAAGAAAATGAGACAAAGGAACTATGGAGAAGACAATGGTATTGAGGTAAAGAGGAGAAGAAAATGAAAAGAATAAAGACAAAAATTCTTTTTTTTAAAAGATTTATTTATTTATTTATTTATTTATACAAGCACTGGGTACAGTCAGAAGCGCAGGAGGGTGAGAGAATTCACCAGTGCCAGAGTGGGGAGCAGAACAGGCAGACTGACGAAGTACACTGCTGAGGGGAGCAGTAGGCGTGGCAGGAGAGATCTGCGCGCCATGTGGGACCCTCCCCGGCCAGCCGGGGATCGAACCGGCGCTACAGAGGCTGCGGGCAGCTTCGCAGTCCAGCACTCAACCGCTGCGCCACCAGAGAGACCCCTAAAATTCTCGTTTTGAGAAAATACTGGAACACTCTTCAAAAGGTCTTTACATCAGTAAAGTGTATACAGAGGTCATCAATAGAAAGTAACGAAAGTGTGAATGTGAGAAGAAATCTGAGGTAGAGCGGAAAGTTCTCTTCCAAGGAAAAGTATTAGCAGGAGCAAAGTCTCTGAACTGCAGAGTCCTCGGACTTGCTTCAGCATTACCTAGAAAGGTGAAGCCAACACAAATTTAGGGGTATAAGGCCACACCTACTTAACATCTCTGAGGGTGAAAATGAAGACTCTGTTTTAACAAAGGACCGCCAGGTAATTCTGATGTACACGCAAAACTCAGAGAAGGAAGAAATCATATAACATAACCTGTAAGAGCTGTAGCTATCTCTAAGCCAAAAGCCAAAACTCGAAGCTCATAAAAGATAGAACAATTCCCAGTGAAGATTCTTGGGCTTTACAAGCTTACAGATAACTAAGGAAGAGCTGAAACCCCACAAGAAAGAACCAGAGTTAAAATATCATCCAATCAAGAAGATTGCGAGTCAGAAATTATTAGACTTAAGGAACAAGAAATGGTGTCATGGAAATTTATCAGAAAATACAAAGATGGAGACAGGGTGGCTATGGATAAGATCAGAGATGACAGTGGAAAAGAGGCTTAAAGGAGGTAATAAGAAACAAAATGTGTGCCCATAACTCATCTCAAGTAACAAGAAGTTACGTGGTAAGTGGTATTTCATTCTTGGAAAGTTAGGTAATCAGATTAACATCTCTGAAGGTGAGACCCAGGCCTCAGTGTTTCAACTAAGAAAAAGAGATGGAAAGAATGGTCAAAAATAGACCCATTCCATTTTGACTCCACAAAGTCAAGTCTTTGCCTATATTCTAAAGGGGAAAGAGAATATAAATAAAACATTTCATAGCGACAAGCACTATAAAGAAGGGTAGATGATGAGATGTTCTTTTTAATAGGGTGATCAGGGAGGCAGTCCCTAAGAAAGCAATAAATTAGCAGAGATGTACAAGAGGGGTAGAACCCAACAAAGAAAGGTGGTGGTGAAGAGATGTGATTTATGTTTACAATAACCACTTCAACCGCAGTGTGAAGGCATTGTACATTGGTGAGAAGGGCATGATGATGAGGCTAATAAGTAGAGTAAAAATTTTTTTTAAGATTTATTTATTTATGCATACAAGAACTGGGGTACAGGCCAGAGGTGAGTGGGGATCAGAACAGGTGGAATGACTGAAATACACTGCTGAGGGGAGCAGCGGGTGAGACAGGAAAGGTCTGCTGCGCTATGTGGGTTGCTCCCTGGCCGACTGGGGATCGAACTCATGCTGTAGTGGCTGCGAACAGCTCCACAGGTTGCGTCTTAACCCCCTGCGCCACCGGGGAGGCCCCAAGGAGAATAAATTTTAAGAGAACTTGGGACAGGGCCAGTAAAAGACTAAGATAAGAGCTGCAAAGCTGGACGCAGCAGCTCAGGGAAGTACAGCCACTTAGAGCGAGACAGTCACAGAGGGGATGATGAAAATTTAATATAGAGAAAAAAGGTTTAAATATCCCCTAGACCCAGGCCCGTTCAGTTTTTTCACCGCTGCCAGGTACTCCGCACTTGGGAGTCCTTGCTTTTGTTCCTTTCCTCTAAATAAACTTCACTTTTGAACAATGTTTGCTTCTCTCTGCTTACTTATCTAAAAAGTCTGCAAATTCCTTTCATGTGGCTTCGTGGGACAAGAACTTGTGGTGGCTGAAGTGTTACCAGGGTGAACAATAGCAGCAGCACCTATCACAACAGTAACAGCACACACTGACTTCAACATGATGTCATGATTTTTTTTTTTTTAAGATTTATTTATTTACACAAGCACTGGGGTACAAGCCAGAGGCGCGGGAGGGTGAGAGAATTCACCAGAGACAGAGCAGAGAG